TCAGATGGCCATAGCATGTCATTGTTTACAAACAAGCATCTACCCATGAGCCTTTGTATTTTTAGCGTGTGTTGTTATCGTTGCTTGGGACTCAATTCCACGTGTGCGCAGGTGACGACCTTTCGCTTTAACCCTTTGAATGTTAACATTTTGGTGAAATATTGGATGCATTTTTAGGTATTTTTCTATAATTTTGGACCAAATAAACATGATTTTCCATTGGATACATGTCTCGATGAAAATATTCAAATTCAAATTTAGGCAGGTTCTAAAAGTTGACCAACATTGACTTTGGGTTAAGAATGCAGTAGACATTTTCAGAAAGTAAAATTCACACTAATTAAAAATCAGTGTTATATTAATTGCACCTTCATGTGGTCATGTGATTGCTAAATAAATAAATCTCCTATTGAAGCGTTAATGATATTAACAAACCTTTTTATCGAAAACTAAAAAGCCAATGACATATACCGGGGTATACTGTACTGTCTGTATGATTTAAAATTTTGTTGAATTTAAAAGATGAATTTTTGGTGGGAAATAAGATATAGTTATATAGTACTAACATCACTCATTTTGCTTCTCCATATTATTACAGACTCAAACATATCTGCAATCACATCCAGAATTACTAGAGGTTTTTATGTCATCTCTTACTGATCATATGAAAACATTGATATTAAACACAACGTTGCCGAATATCAACATTATTGAACATCAGCTGTCCATCTTACATGATGTATTAACATTGTGGAACTCATCTGTACCGTCTAATATAAGCATTTTTCAACCATTTCCGGATGAATCTGCAGCTCTGAATTATGCACTAAACACGTCTCTTCATCAGAATTCAGTTTTTGCTGGTAAGTACATTTTTTATTATTACATTTATTTCCAGAGCAATACAATACTAACGATGACAAAATGTTTAGTATCTAATATTCTCAAAATACAATCATGTACATGTTCTCTTGAAACCTTTACTTGAAAAAATATTTACAATAACTTCTCAGCAAACAGCCTTCTTATGTGGCAACTGTTAATAAGTACATGCCATTTTGTTTATGCCATTGGTCCTTGGAAATTACTGTATGTAATAATTCTTGTTGTCAAGAGGTTTGTTAATATTTTGGTCACCAAATTCAGTGTAATTTCTGATCTTGTTTATTCCAACAGTTCTGCTTTTCAAAGTTGATGAGAATGGATCATTGCCGAACAGCACTATGTACACTATACGTCAAGTAGATGGTACAGTCACGGACAATGCCCATGGAAATAGAATTTGGGGACTCTCCAAGAGATTGTTCCCCATCTCGTACTATGAAGGTGGTTTTATGTGGTTACAAGACATGATTGATCACGCTATTATGGAAAAGCGGGTTGGTCACAGCGTTACAGAACCAGGAAACTATGTCCAGGAATTCCCGTACATTGAATATCTCTATGACAAGTAAGTGTGTATGTTGAAAATCTTGTAGATTTTGCTACTGTTTATGGTATACCATTATGTGGCAATGATAGTTTTCTCAGTGTTTTTTTTTTTTCTGCACACATTTTGCTGGTATGGTGCTATAAACACCAAGCTTCCAGTTAGCTACGTTGGGTGGCCTGAGTACGCTCCGCCACGTCGTGTCACGGGTGACTGTCAAATCTCAAATAAAGTATTGTTTTTTCACACATTGAACCCGCCTACTGTCATTGTAAATAGTGTCCACTTTTAATCATGAATAAATCAACTGGTGGTGTTATCACGTAGTTTTTAAACTTTGTTGTGTGTTTTATTTCTGTTTTGGGACTGGTAGGGGGGATCGTAACTCCTTGTGGTGAGAACCAGTGAGACTGGCCTACTTGCAGGGTTCCAAAGCTTAATGTTGTACGTTATTTCGTTTTCTTTTATGTTATTTGTCCTTGTCAAACTGCTAATTAAAAATCACTA